GTGGGGGTGGGAGAATTTGGAGGGGTGTTGTCTTTTTTTGAGAATTTTTGACTGCGTTTTTGAAAATTCTGAGGGATTTTGGGGAACTCTGAGGGGGTTTGTATCTTTTGAGAATTTTGGGGGGTTTTGGGGAGAATTTTGAGAGGGTTTTGGAGGGGTTTTGGGAGAATTTTGGAGGGCTTCTGAGAATTTTGGGGATTTGAAATTTGTATTTTTTTAATTTTTGAGATTTTTGGTTTTTTTATAATTTGGAGTGAGTTTTTTTAGTTTTGAGAGGTTGTTGGGAATTTTGGAGGGTATTTTTGAGAATTTTAGAGCTTTTTTGAGAATGTTTTAAATTTTGAGGGTTTTTTTAGTTTGAGGGGTTTCTTTTAGAATTTTATTTTTTATAATATGGAGGGTTTTTTGAGAACTTTGAGGTTTGGGGTTTTTTTGAGGGGTTTTGGTCTTTAGAGAATTCTTTCCACACCCCCCAGTGAGTAACCAATTCCTTCCCCTTTCCCTAGCATCGATTACGAGACGTTTGACATCCTGGACGACGAAGAGGTGAGGAGATTTCTCCACCCCTGAGGCTTTCCCTGCTGCTTCCCCCGAGGCTGAAGGTCACATTTGAGTTCCTTTCTTCCAGGTGCGACAGGGGCTGAAAACCTTCTCCAACTGGCCCACATACCCTCAGCTCTACGTGCAGGGGGAGCTGGTTGGAGGGGTGGACATCGTCAAGGTAGGCAGGGCAGAGCCCTGGGCTGAAATTTGGCTCCTGGTTTCCAGTCATAGGAACATCTTCTGCCTGTGTCACACAGCAGCTCCCAAATATTGACTCCACACTTGCTGGTTGCTCTTCCCGTGGCTCCTCTTAGCACCCACCCAGTGAGAGGAGCTGTAAATCTCATCACTTAGTTGTTCTGACTGTAAAACCCATTTTCCTCCTCCCAACTACATTTTTACAGGTTTCTCCTCCTCAGTTTTACTCCTGACATTGCTTTTCTCTCCCACCAGCTGGGTGAGACATTGGGGTTTTTTTCCCTAGTCTCATTCCTGGGAGAAAGCAAAGGTTTATTGGAGTTGTTTGCACAGAGCCTGAAGCAACAGAAATAGATCTGCATCTCTTCCTCTGCTTGTTGGGTTTTGTACCAGCCCCAAATCCTCCTGAGCCCATTCTTGTCTGAGTGTTTTATAGCCAATTCCTCAGACATTGCAACTCCTGGGAAAGCACAATCAATAAACCTCATTTAGTTCTAAAAATACTTGGTATTCCTCAAATGATGGGGATTAATTGTATTTATTTACCGAGTGTGGGGGCTCCTCCAGTGAGTGCTGAGGGAGTCTTGGGCATTGAGATGCTGCAAAATCCTTCTCTCCCTGGTATGTGGATGTGATTTGCCTGTTTGCCTGGTTTGCTGTGTTGCTTCTCACTGACGTGTGAGGGTTGGGGGTGTGTTGTCAGGGCTTCAAACTGCAGGTTTTGGTGTGGCAGAATACGGAGCAGAATGGAGGCAGCTGTTCCTTGGAGTTGAGAGGGAGGAAAAAGTACTCCGTGTTACTTTAAAGCTGTTCCCTGGTGTTGTCCAGCTCTTGAGCAAGACAGCACCTTTGTCAGCTGAATTTCCATCATCGAGATAATATGGGCAAACACCTCTCAGAGTCCTTAGGTTGTGTCAGTATCTCCTTGGTTTAGTGGGAGGAACAGTTTATCGATGGATGGTAATTGTTTTGGATTTGGGAGGTGTTTTGGAGGTTGTAAAACTTCGGGGATGCCTAAAATACACCTGGGATTAAACCTAGAAGGAGAATCTGGACTTGCGTCCAGGAGGAGATTCTAAGTTAATAACCAGCAAGGTGTATATTTCCAGTAAATATTTTGCTTCTCATGCTAAACACACACCAAGTAAAACTTAAACACGACACAAACCTCAGTGTCTTGGCCAAGAGGGACCTCTAGTGAGTCATCAGTGCATTCCCTCCCTAGCCAGGGAGTTGTTTCCTTATCCACACACATTCCCTGCTGAAATCTGTTGGCAAATGTACCTAATTGCTCTGTTTATTTCCTTCCAGGAGCTGAAGGAAAATGGTGAATTGCTGCCTGTGCTGAAGGGAGAGAACTGATGGGAAAGGACATCAGTGGGAAGAGAAATCCTTGGAACAGTTAGAGGTTCTGTTGGAGCAATATACAGCTTAGCCCTGTGGCACATCAGGAGAAAACACAGACAGCAAATAACTCCTCTCTGTAGGTCACTAGGCAGTGCTGCACATGGAAATGTCTTTCCACTGCAGAGACTAAAAGGTCAATTAAAATATGCTCCAGGACTTTGTGTGTGTTAATTCTGTGTGGAGGTTGAGAAGTTGAGTAATGACATCCCAATCCATCCCAGAGCTGTGCAGGACTAAATGGCTCTTGTTTTATGGGCTCAGCTCTCATTAGGAGAATATTAATGGATGATGTGATGGAGCATCATCATTCCCTGTCCCTCTTAATTGTCTTCGTGTCAGCTGAGGAAGAAAAACACTATTCAAGCCTTCATCCAGTGCAGCACTAGGGAGTTATTAATGAGTTCAGCTCATACTCTGCATCTTTACAGGGTAGGTGCAGGAATTGCTAATTTCAGGTGTTCAGCCTGTTTCAACACAAGGGTTTGGGCATGTTCAGATGAGGGTGGAAATGAGCCAAGAATGGATCCTCAGGGACCCTTCAGTGAGGTGATGGGAGGTTTGTTTCCTGGGCTGTGACTTTGGAGTGACACAGGATCTTTCACCAATGGATTCACAGGGTTCAGTTGGGTTTTAATCCTTCTTGGTACCTGAGTCTGCCTGAGGTTGGTGGCTAAACACTCCTCTGAGGAGCTGCTCCTTGCTGGGAAGGGTCAGGATTGACTCTTCCAAGGGTGCTGGAAGAGAAGGTGCCTAAGGGAGGTGGTGCAAGGTGTCAGGCAGCAGCTGGGAAGATTTTGGAACAAGTTTGGGGCTTTGTGGCTTCAATTCTAAATACAATCGAAGTCTTAGAGCCTGAAGCAACACTGGTGTTGGACCCAATCCCAGGCTGGTAACGCTTGGCTGCAGGGCAGGAGGTACTTCCATGTGTTACAGGATTCTTAGGGATTGATACTTCCTTCAACTATCAATTTCCAGTATTAATTTTAATTAAAATGGTGAATGTTACAACTTTAAAAACAGCTTTAATTGTAAACCAACCTTAATTCAGCTCTCCAAGTGAGTTGCCAGTGCCTCCAGGCAGTTGTCAGGAGGAAAGAAGCAACCTAACATCCTCACAAGGATAACGTGTTCTGCAGGAATGTGTTATCCCTCTGCCTCTGGAATAGGCTGCTGGGGGAAAATGAGTTTGGCTTTGTGTGGAGGAGACAGTGAGTGTGGTTCATTGGCATCTGGAGTGAGCTGAAGAGGAGGTGGATCTGTCAGCTCAGGGATAGGGAGTGCAGGTGGGAGTTGACACCTGCAGCCACTGGAGGTGATGGTTCCCACTGGAGTTTCCAGGTGCTCACTCAGCACACACCTACTAATTCCTTCCTGGTTCTTTTCCCAAGTCACTCTGACCTACCCAAGGAAAAGCAGGGGAACATTTCCTGCCAGCAAGATACAGGAGCTCATTTCATGGTGGTGAGACAGAAGTGCAGGGAACTGACTCTTTGGTCTTCAAGTTGTCGTTCCAGGGAACCAATTCAGGCGAGACAACTGAGCTGTCTGAGGACACTGTGAACATGGGTTTGGAGAGTCTGTTTTGGGCTGATGCCTAGGACTTGCCTCATCTTCCCAAGGCAGGTGTGTGCTGCTGTGCAGGAGTGCGGAGCAGTCAGGACCCTGCCTGGTGTCACTTGGGAGGTCACTGTTCTGTCCATACTGACCTGCTCTGTCCTGCTGTGTGTGCTCAGGGCAGCAGAATCCCCTTCCAAGCTTGGGAAACCCTTGGAAGCGAGCTAACAAAATTAAGGAGAAGGAGACAGATGTCAGCAAGATCCTTGCCTCTTCAAGGAAAAACTTCCTCCCCCTGGTAGTTCAGTGTCTGCAAGTCCCTCTGTCCTGTCATGTGTCTGTTCTCTGTCCTCATGTGGTTGTGTGTGTGAAGTTTTCCCCCCGTGCAACAACTGTTTATGCCCAGTGGGACCTGGAGCCATAATCATCTGGAGGTGTGTCAAACTCGGGAGACACGGAATTTACCTGGAATTCAAACAGTGTTCCAGAGGGGATACCCTGCCTGCTCTGCCTCCAGAGGGGCCATAATGCACCAGGAAATCCTGATGGATCATTCCTGAAAATGTGGATATACCAACGCCAATCTGAGCAGGATGCAGAGAATTTGGGACTGAGGGAAATGCCCAGTTCTGGGGATTTTCCTGCGTGCGGCAGTGCCAAGGATGTCCGCGGGGCGGCGCTGCGAACCGCTGGGAGGGAGAGGGACACGGGGAAAGAGAATGGGAATAGGATGGAAATGATGCGGACAGGGCGAGCGGGACACCGGGAATGGGATGGGAATGCTGCGGGCGGGGAGAGGGATATCGGGAATGAGAATGCTGAGGATGCTGCGGGACAGGATAACGGGATGTGTGGGCTGGGGATGCTGCGGGATGGGCAGGAGGTTAGTGAGAGGCACAAGGGGAAATGAGGGATAATGAGGTGTGTGGGGCTGGGGATGCTGCGGGGGGACAGGGGGATAACGGAGTGGCAGGCAGGGTGTGATGGGGTGCAGGGCTGGGGATGCTGTGGGTGTCAGAGGGTACCAGGTCACAGAGCTGGGGATGCTGTGGGGCAGGATAACAGGGGGAGAAAGAGGGGCACGGGGCTGGGGCTCCTTACCTCTGCATCTACCAGGATTACTGTGAGCTCTCACATATGGCTCTATTAGATTGTTTAAGGCTAAACCTGTCGCTTGCTGCTCACACAATCTCAGACTGCTCAGCTGTTTCTCAGCTCAAGCGCTGGTCAGTAATAATAATACAATATTAAACAACAATATATAGCAATCACAGTAGTAATGATGATGATGATAAATGTGGGTGTTCTCAGGGGGTGCTCACCTCAGCACAACCAGGCAGTGACCCAGCACCCAGGGGAGAGTGTCCCAGCTGCTGGGGTGGCTCAGAGCACCCAGCAGTGCCACGGGTGCCTCTGTAGGGAGGGCAGGCACAGCAGGTTTTCCTGCACCTTGAATTTCCACCTCAAATTAGGACCACTTCAAATTAGGACTCTGAAAGTCAGGCAGACTGAAGCTGTCGGGAAGACAATCTCTCAGCTGAGCCAAAGGATGTTCAGGCTCATGGCAGAATGAGTCTGGCATTTCTGCCTGCTCAGCATCTGGCATAATCCCTGGGCTCAGCTGCCTGCCCTGTGCCCGTTGGGATGCCAGTGTGGCTGCTGGCACTGCCCCCCAGGCGCTTGGGTTTGTACAGGTCCTCTTGGATTCCAACCCAGCTCCGGTCACAGTGCAGCCTTTGGGGTCATTAAGTGATGGCAGCAGAATTCATGGTCCATGGGTGAGTCAGCACAGAATCCCAGACTGGGTTGGGTTGGAAAGGATCTGAAAGCCCAACAGGTTCCAACAACCCTGGCAGGGACATCTTCCCCTGGCCTGGGTTGCTCCAACCCAACCTAACCTGGCCTGGAACACTCCCAGGGATGGAACAGCCACAGCTGCTCTGGGCAACCTGTGCCAGTGCCTCAGCACCTCACAGAGAGGAATTCCTGCCCAATATCCCATCTATCCCTGCCCTCTCGCAGTGGGAAATCATTCCCTGTGTCCTGCCCCTCCAGACCCTTGTCCAAAGTCAGGATGGAATATCTGGCTCGGCTCGGGCTGGAGATGCTGTGGACAGCAAAGCATGGCAGGAAAATCCAGTTGTGTTGCCGGAAGAGCTTCAAAAAATCTCTAGCAATTATTATCAACTGCCTTTTCTCCCTTTTTCCTCCTTTCCCTGAGATTATCCCTATGTGACACTAGATGGAGCCTCCTGTGCGCGGGAGGAGCAGAAGGGCTCGGGGAGCTCAGAGCAGCAGCAGCACTTCCAGCAGCGTTTGAAAAGTGTTAGCACTGGATGTAAGGATGCTGTGCCGTGGGAAAAACGCGGTGGGAAATGATTCCTTACACCTACAGAGGGCAAAACTCACCTGCTGTTTTCCCTTAGCATGGAAAATACATCAGAACTGAGAAGCAGAATAGTTGTAACATTATGTACACATCATTTTGAAAGTGGTTTTTATAAAGGAAAAGGTTCCCTGCCCATGGCAGGGGTGGAATGAGATGAGCTTCAAGGTCCTTTCCAACCCGAAGCAGTCTGGGATTCTATGATTTTGAAGGATGTGTAGAGTAAGGGTTGAGCTTTTTGCTTTGAGCACATGTAGCATTTTCTGTCCTTCAAATATCTGTCTCTCCACAACCATTTTCAGCTCTTTCCTAGGGAAATGATTTGAAATATGGTTATTATTTTATACTATGACTCCAGTGCTAGTGCTCTGGTGGTTGGTGACGTGGCAGTGCTGGGGGTGGGAAGCTCTTCCCAGGGTGACTCTTGCAGCAGCAGAGTGGTGTCACCACTCTGTGCACATCCACAGCCCCCGAAAGCACCAAACTCAGCAGGTTATGGAATAGTGGAGGTTGGAACTACAGCATCATTGTGGGATGAGCCACAGCAGCTTAATTGTTCTCTGCCAGTTGTAGGTGGAATTTTGGGGCACCTTGCTGACATCCTGAGTGAGGAAAATGCAAATCTGAACCAAACTTGGGGCAAACGATGTATGTTTGTGCTGAGAATGAGAACTGAGAGGGAAGTTCTTGTAGACACTCAGAGAGGGCAGCAAATGGGAGATCCTTTGCACCAAGAGGCTGCTAAGAGTTTTCAGAAAGGGATTCTGCCCCATCCCTGGGAGTGTTCCAGGCCAGGTTGGATGGGGCTTGGAGCAACCTGGGCTGGTAGGAGGTGTCCCTGCCCTTGGCAGGAGGTAGCACTGGATCATCCTTAAGGTCCTTCCAACCCAAACCCTCCTATGATTCTCTGATGGGTCCATGACCTTGTCCTGTGAATATTTGTGCTGCTTTTCCTTTGTGCTCAGCTGGGTGCCCACTGAATTTATCACTTCATTAGAACTTCTTCAGTGGGAGA